TGCGAACGAAAAAAAAAAAAAAAGAAAAAAAAACACTTTGAATATTTTTCAGAGACGCGGTTCAGGGACCAAATGTTCTCTTTGCAAAATATCTCACCACTTCAGACACGTAGGCTCCTTTGCCGTTCTTGTAGCCCATCAAAATGAGGCCGGAGCCCTTGCCCGCCTTCTTTGTCAGCTCCACCTCGATCTCCTCCTGTTCTCTATCGTTGCGATGCACTATCAGTATTACCTGAAACAATAGGAAAAACAAAATAAAGTAAAAAAATTTCAAAAGGCGTCAGTGCAAAAAATTGTTTTCCCCTCAATGGTTGTCAGATTAAAAACTCACAGGTCCCTGGGTGATCCTCATGACGGTCTGGTAAGCCGTGTCGTGGTCCATGGTCTTGGTGGGCTGCTTGTTTATGTCCACGATGCGGTCGCCAGTCTGCAGACGACCGTCCTTGCCCGCAGCTCCGTCCGGAAACACGTCGAGGATAAACACTCCGGTCTACGCGACGAGACAGAACATTCAATAAGTATACCTATGTACCTTACAATGTAAGTACGAGACGGGGACTCACGTTGGGCGTGTCGGTGCCTCCGATGACGGTGAAGCCGATCGGTTGGCCCTTGTCCTTGGCCATCTCGAGGGTCGTGTCTTTGCAGTCCTTGACGGGATCGGTTTTCGGATCGGCCGGTTTTTCCGGCTCTTTCGGCTTCTCCGGCTCCTTTTTAGCTTCTGAAAAAAAAAAAAAAAAAAAAAATCAACATAAACGCTCTCATCACGTGTACCGATCTCTCTTTGATGAACAACAAATAATCATCATTCGTACCTTTGTCAGACTCGACGGGCTCTCCTTTGGCCTTTTTCGCCTCGTCCTCGGCCACTTTCTTTTGGTTCGGATTGCACACTGTCAGCGTGACGACGCCCTCGGCTTTCTTCAGAAGCGCCGTCGCCTGTGACATATTTTTTATTTACGCACGTGATCGTTTCGCCTCTAAATTATAATGGCTCTCGGCTCACGTAGATAATATGGTAATACTCACCTCGTCGTACGTCGCTCCCATTAGAGTGTCCGCGTTCACTGCCAGTATCAACTCACCGACGTTCAGGCCGGCCTTTCAAATAATTGCGATGGTTAAAATAATATACATCACATTCTAACAAACAAATTTCTCGAGCACGAAACTGTACAACTCAGACTTGGGCACGTATATAATTTTCCAGTTATTTTTTTTTAATATGATTTCTTTGTGTTTTTTTTTTTTTTCTATTTACTATACTCATGGCACAAAGTTCCTTCCAGATAAAACGGTTGCATTATAATTTTAAGGAAAAAAAAATAGTCAAAAAGTATTAATCATTTGATTTCAAATACTAATAAAACAATGGACTTTAATAAACATATAATGTATTGGACTTAACTGGCAGAAATTTTGTATTGCGAATAGTGGTAAATAAAAATTTTTTAAATTATTTAGAAATCTATGGAATAATTGTGGCCAAACCTGCTACGGTTCAATCGTTATCGAGTTTTCGCAACTGAAGCAACAAAAATAAGATATAATAACAGCGAGAAAATGAGTAATGGTCCCGTTAACGAGTATAGATATTATTACCTGTTCGGCAGCACCTCCTTCCTGCACGTCTGACACGAAGATGCCGTGTCCGACTTCGGCGTGCTTTCCCTCGATTATCATTATTCCCAGGCCGTAGGTACCCTGGAAGAAAATTAACGACAACATAATTAAGATAACAATAATTAGATGCGTAACAACCGATCGGGCGACATCATACTTTGCTCTAGCAATAAATACATACCTTCTTTATCGGCACCAAGTGGACGCCTTTGAATTGACTGTAGTCCTGAAACGTAAACATAATATATTAGCACAGGTTTGTACAGCTCAAACAAAACATTCCATCATTTTATAATATTGTCAATTTGGAAGATTATCATACTTCTCCCGGCAACGGGGTTGGGAACACCGTGACTTGCGGCACGGCGCAGCTCTGGATGGCATCTGGTCTCCTGAAATTTTCCCAACGAAATCATGACATCTGTACACTTTACTTTTCACTCGTACCGATTTTATCTCAACGGGTCTCGCGTCGAGTGCAAACGCCCGTTGCGCAACAAGGCCAAGGTCGACCGCGTGACCGGCAAGAAAGTGAAATTCAGTGTACCGTGTATGGAGCGGAAGAATAAAGGAAAGTTTGACTCACCGCACTACGATGAACTTGAAGCTGGTGAACGGCATTCCCTTGATCATCGAGGTGACGTTCAAGTGGCACCTTCCTTGGAACACGGTGCCGTTAACCTGTGGCAAAGATAGAGAGAAAGAGAAAAAAAAAATGTTTTCCCAAGGAACATAATGGCAAAAGAAGCGAACGTACCTCGAGTATCTCGTCCCCGGGCTGGAGGATGCCCTCCTTGGCCGCGGTGCCGCTCGGGTCGATGCCGCAAATGAAAACGGCCATTTTGTTCCTGTCCTTGTGACCGGCTAGGGATATGCCCATTCCCGAGCGGCCTTTCTCCAACTTGGACACAAAGACTCGCTTTTTCAGGTTCGCGTATTTCTTGCGTATTTTCACTGCAAACGAAGCCATTGATTGTTTTTACGACTTATCGAGAAAAAGAGAGAGAGAGAGAGAAAAAGCCGCAGACTCACTCTCCGTGTAGCCAAACTCGTCCTCCTCCTCGGGATCAGCCGCGATCTCCTCTTTCGTCCGCTTGACGTTGCCGGCGCTCCTTCTCGATATCTATTATACATTATTTTTAGTGTTACAATATGGGCATGTATCATTTTGAATCAAAAAACATTTCAACATCTATACAATCCATTGTTTCACAAATCGAAGTGTGTAATTTTCCGTAACACTATTTACTCGCTTTTATGTGAGTTGAAACAACACACTTCGATTTGCAGTGCATAATTATAGGTATATGTACATCGTACTAAATTAGTGCATACTCACTGTTCAAATATTACCTAAATACTCACTTATTCGAAGTGAAAGTTCATACTATTTAAATACTATATGTACATAATGTTGCAGTCTCAATTTCACAAATTCTTAATGGCATACTTATTATATATACGTTAAAATTAATTATTGATGGTATATTATACTCGAAATACTATATATTTATATTCCATTCTCTTCGGTTAAATTAACATGTCGTGTTGCATCACTCATGAACCAAATAACCGTGTCCAAGTGCAGACGTAATTATTATTATTATTTTTATTTTTTTTCTTTAAGTTTTTCTTGCTAGTAAAAATCTCGATTTTTCGCGTGGAAGCATAGATTAGTAAGCGCAAACCTCCATCGCACGGGCTTACTTTAATAGACTCCATTAAAACGCAACGTTCTTCTATTCTTAACGTAGCCCGAAGTGACGGTAACCCAACGCGTCGGGCAGAGAAGAGGATCACTTCCCGTCGACTCTCAACTTCGACAACAATACACCCAAAGCCCCAGCGAGGTCGTTTACAGGTCCGCGCGAAAACTTTCAAAGAAGAGCTCGAGAGCGCCAAGTGTTTCCCTCCCTCCCCGGGACGATTCGCAGCTACATGACGTTTCTCTCTCTATTGTTATTTTTTTTTTTCGCTAAAAAAACACCCGGTGACCCTTTTCTCTTTGTTTTCACCACGACCAGCGGAATAAGCCGGGATGGAGATTCGGCTGTTATCGCGACTAGCTGCGAGACACAAGCCGCTGTGTTTACGGTATCGGATCCACAAATAGAACCCGCTGGGCTGTCGCCCCCTCACCCTACACGTGTATATTTGCAGTATATATCTAAGCTCCGCATCTCGAGAAGCTTCCTCGCGATGGTACCGATGCCCCGCGCAATAACTCGCTGATCGAATATGCATGTATATATGCTTGATCCATCAATTTCAAATTTAATTTAAAAAAAAAAAAGCTCCGCGTGCTTTGGGGAGCTTTGACGAAAATAACGGGGAGGGGGCATTTTTTTAATAAGCGTAAGAGGCCAAACGCACGCGCGGAAGCGTGAATTTTAATCAACGAGCTATGCATTTGCGGGGGTGTACACGAGGCGCGAGGAACGGTGAAAAGCTCGGCGGGAGCTTGCGGGAGAAAAAAAAAATCAGTGACGTATACATAGTTTCTCGGTCGCGTTTTTTTTTTTTTACAGAGCAACACTATAGGGGCACGTCGATATACAAGGCGCAGAGGTGATGTTGGGGTTGCAACACTGACCTCGACGCCGTTCTTGGTGTAGACGTTGCCCTCGAGTTCTCGAGTGTCCTCCTCCTCCTCGGAGCTCTCACCCGACGAGTACTTGTTCTCGGGCTTTGGTTGCGCCGCCTTTGGCTTCTCGCCGTCCCTGCTCGACTCTCGGCTCGTTGGCGCTCTTCTGCGGATAGTTTGTTGGATTAGTTTTTTTTACCCACTTTCAGTTACTTACAGTGAACCACATTGCGGCAGAGACTGTTTTTGTGCTCTTAGGAAAACGATAATACGTACTTTTTGTCACTCGGTCCGGGACCATCTGCCATTCCACTGGTTTGCCTCTTCAAATCCCTCTTTCCTTCCTGTAAGCGAAAGTCACGCAAAGTAAGTGTACCCACGCGGCACTGTCAACTCGGCTCTACTTATTATATCGCGAACAAAACAAAAGCCCAGTCGGCCAAAGTATTTTCCCGGTACTCGTGTTCGCTCGTTGTTGTTATTACATCGCCGTCATTGTTGTCGTCTCCTCGAAAGCTCCTCTCCCATTCAAAAGCTCGCGTATATAAACATTCGTTGCAGCGAAGAGATACGTATACGGCGAAAAACGAATGAAAAAAAAAACAATCCCTCTCCCCGGAGTTTCTTATGACCCGCGGGTGCAAGCTTTTATATTTTGCTGCTTATAACAAGGCGAGAAAAAAAAA